GGTCCATGGAAACACTAGGGCCTCCAGGGGGGGCTGGGAGCCATGGCGCTTGACACGAGCCATAAGGTGGGCTGCGGAGGAGCGGCGCTCCAACCTTTTGGACAGGGTCCATTCCTTTTTGGTCGTTGAAGCAGGGCTTCATATCTCCAAAGCTTTCTGCAGTGAGGGACCCTTCTCGTCCGTGATGGTGCGAGCCATGAAGCGGGTGGCGACATCAACCATGACCAGGATGGCGATCTTGCGGGTCTTGTTCTTCTTGTGGCCAGGTTCGGTCACCATAGCAACTTCATCCAAATCAAGCCAAAGAACATCAGCTTGGAGCTGGTTGTTGAACTCTGTTGGTCGATCAAGGTGTCCTGGTGCATTGCCCTTCTTCACAGAGTGGATCTCGCAGAAGGGACATTCCAGATCTTGGACCGCTGCCAACACCTGTGGACTGCAGTTCCTGCTCCTCAGGGCATGGAGCTAGACTTCTTTCCGTGGGTGTCCAAGGTTGCGATGAAGTCGCTGCGCGATCCGAGCTGGTTGGAAGCCAACTTGCGAAGTGCTCCTGTGAGAGGCGCTGCATCTTCGGAAACTGCATATACTTGTTCATGTAGACCTTCGTCAAGTAGAAGGGCTCGAACCAGGTGGGCTGCCATTTCATCTTGATAGTTTTCAGCTCGGCGGCATCGGTTGCGACCTTCAAGTCGTTGACGTTGATGTGAGCCATCGCATCTCTTGGTCATGATCTCAAAAATTGCCCATTTGGTGGTGCTGATGCGGGTGGTATTCAAGATCGGCTGCTCGACGCCATTGTCATCAGGGATGGTGGCACCATAGGCACATTGATCGAAGATTGCCTTGCGCTCAGGCAAACCTGAACTGCTTGGTCACCCAGGCCAGGCTAGGCGAGGATGTTCGACGTGGGCGTGCGCTCCTCGTCGGACCTGTTTCATGTAGAGCTTCTCGCGCATTGTCAAGTGGGTCTCGGCGTCGATCTCGCGCCGTTCAGCCAGATCAGCGGCCTGTTCAGCATTGGAGACGTTGATTTGTTGCATCCTTGACCATAAAGTGCACTTGAGGGACATGAAGATCTTGTCCGGCTCCAAGTCGTCGGCCAACCGCAAGAGCTGCTTCCTGTGTGAGGCTTTGCTGAAGTCCCAACCGTCTTAGAGTTTGGAGACCAAATCTCATGACTTCAACATCGCCATGAGCTTCCAGAAGCCTGGTGATCTTGCCTTCTCCAGAATAGACTTCCCAGATCAGCGACGGTGTTGTCCTCGATCGCGAGCATGAAGGATCTCCTGCCTCTGTCTCTTGACTCTTGAAGTTGAGCCTCAATCCAAGACATGGTCTTCTGAAGCTGCTCGATGGTTTTGCGGGCTTCGTCAGGCAGAAGAGGTCGTTGTTCATCATTGTCCTCATCGACAGTGGCGAAGGTCTCTTCATGGTCGTGGAGCGAGAAGTAGGTCTTGACCTCTGTGGTCATCTCGAAGTAGCGCTCGTGAGCGTTGAGACTCATGGAGGTTCGTGCTCTTGTCGTGGCCGTCCTCGCAGCGGAAGTCGAAGACAGGCTCTTCAAAGTCCTCAGGGTGCTTGACTTCTGCTGCCATGCGAAGGAGCATAGCACCTTGTCTGCCACGAGGGGCATCACGCCATTCTTGATGCAGTAGTCTCATCTTGGACTCGCCGAAGTTGATCTCGGCCTGCAATGCCTCGAGGATAGGCCCCATAGACGATGTAGGCTTGGATGCGTCCAGGATGGCCAGACATTCTGACTGGGAGTTCAACCATCCATCGTGAGTGTCCGGAGGCGTCTCCGCCAAACTTGAAGGACTTGTCACACCTCTTGAAGATGAGCTCGTCCATGGGATAGCCAATCATCTCAAGCCACTTGATGTAGCGAAGGGCGTACTCAGAGCCGATCAAGAAGGAGCTTGCACCTTGGTCTTGAATGCAAGTGTCAGGCTCGTTTGTCAGCCAACCTCCGACTCGGACCAACACTTCACCTTCAGCATAGGCATCCTCAATCTCGTAGAAGATGTCCTCGCGCGGTGACCTCACCCTCGTCCATGTCGTCGTAGGTGTGTTCGATGTTGATGACCATGTTGATCATCGGGTCTTCGAGGTCAATCACGCGCTTCTTCGGCGAGGATCCGCCTGTCTGCTGAGCTGATGGGCAGTTGGCTGCAAAGTGTCCGGCCTTGCCGCATCGAAGACAAGTGAAGGCTGCTTTGGCTCGGCTCTTCCCAGTTGGACCTTTTGACGATCCCTTGGAGCCATTGTTCTTGCCCTTGGACTTGTTCTTGGATTTTCCACCTTTTGCCGAGCCCTTTGGGTTTTGAGCAACTAGTGGGGCTTGACCTTTCCATCAACAACAGCCACCACTGGGTAGAATCCTCGGCTTTGGCGAAGTTGGTTGAACCTCTGTTTGGCATCAACGTAGTAGGTGGAATAGACCTCGTCAAACTCCTCGGTGTCATAGATGTTCTCAGCGTCGTCGATGGTCTCCTCATAGAAGGTTCCATCAGGGAGTTCGGGCGCGTCCTGGTAGTAGGACTCTTCAGCTTCAAAGAACTCGTCAGCAGCATCATCATCCCAAGTCATGTGAACTGACTGCTCGGGGCCTTTTCCATCGAAGTTGCTGCTGTCAGCGGAGATGACGAGGGACATGGACCTGCTGGTAGTCCTGTCCGAACAACAGGAAGAGGGACTGCTCCACAGCGCCCAAGGTCAGCACCGACCCGATCTGGGTCTGAACCATCTGCTCCTGCTCGCAAGTCAGTCCTGCTCGCTTGAGCATCATCCAGCCCGTCACCTCTTCAGGGAGGTCGACCTTGTGCTTGGTCACCTGGCGCAACACCTGGTGGAACTCGGTGGTGTACCCCAGGAGGGTCTGCTGCTGTCGGCGCTTGAGCTTGAAGAAGAAAGCGTCGAAGTTGTTCGGCATCTCGACCTTGACGTCAAAGGACCATTGCTTGTCCAAGCGCTTCAACAAAATGCTGAGGCCTTCCTCGGATTCCAGCTCTTTCAAATCCAGGTCTTCGTATTGAGTCCAGCTGGATCCCTCTAAGGTTGACAGCACGTTGAGCGCTACCTCGGTCTTGCGACCTTGAATCTCCAGCTTCCGGGCATAGAGAAGGACCCTGCGCCGCCATTCCTTGTAGGAGGTCGTTGTGTTCTCGAAGCGCGACGCATAGTTGTCCTTGAGATCTCGGCTACCGCCGGCGCCATTGGCCAGTCCAGACGAAGCGGTCGCAGAGGATGAGGTTTCCCTCCGCGAGGGCGATCTGCCAGCCATGAGCGCATGCGGGAGCCGTCACTTTGGACGGCTCCGCTGCCAATGTGAAGGTATGGAGTAAAATACCTAACGCGTGTGACCGCTCGAAGTGTCAACGTGGGACATGTGAAGCGCACATCCTTTTGCGTGCCGAGTGAACAGCTCAAGGGGCCCCTGTCGGGCCAAAGGTTCATTGAGCCATAAGCGGCGATTGCGGATCATGCTCACCGCACATGTGAAAAGCTTAAAGCTCAAGCTTAAAGCTCAAACTCATGTAGCTACCATGGGCGGCGCCCATTTCACACTATTGCTTTTGTACTCATATACATATATTATGTATATATATATATTCCTGTCTTCTGTTTTCCAGGATGGAACATGCGGAGGCTGTCTTGTGGCGGAAGTGAACATCTTGAAGAGCTAAAGGAACAAAGCTGTAAGGATTGTCAATCACCTGAAAATCTGCGCGACGGCCTACAAAAGGAAATTGTCACCAAGGCTGTTCGTTTCCAGGGTGCTTGAAAAACCTGCTCTTACGCATCGACACGGTCGCTAGGAATGAGCACTAAAGAAGATTCAAGTCAATGAGAAGTGTGGAAGTTTGTTGTTGCGCTTTGTAAAATCACTATATTCATGGTGGTGGCAAGGATGTAGGACTGTAGTTCTGTCTGTGGGTCCTGGGCTGTACGCTGCTGGCATGCGACGGCGGGCAAACTCACAACGCCAATCTGAATTGTAGCGCTGGGGACCCTGCATAAACCTAAAAACCAGTCCAGTCTATTCTGAATCTTGAGTGACAAGTTGCAGAGGCCCGCAACCAACAAGTGTGCCTCCCATACAAAATGCGCCAGGACCGCCCAATGCCCAAACCAAACCAGAGAAACAGCCCATAGCGTGCCACGCGAAGCTCAAACAAGAGCAAAATGGAACATCAGCTGGATCAGTCACACCTCACCAAGACCGTGCAAACGTGCTTGTGCTGGGATGGTGCTTTGGGCAAGAGTGGAGCCGACATGAACGAAAAACAAGGTAGAGTAGAGCGCCTCTTTTGATGCTTCGCTGCAGGTATGGAAACTGGGGTGCGCGTTGGAAATGCGTCACCCTACACAGGGGTGGAGGCACAAAAGAAGTGCGAGCGCACCTCATCCATGGCGGCACAGGCGCGCCGAGAACCCAGGGGCCTTCAACAAAGGCCAGTGACCAACCGAAACCGTGGCATCACAAGTGTTCTTGTGAAATCTTAGCCGTCATAGCTTTCCGACGGACTTGCCACCAACAGGCTTTTGAGGCTCTTGGCTGTTCTTATGAAGACCCAGCACTTCTAAAGACCCAGTGAACCTCTTCCAAGTAGCCTTGTCCTTTCTTGTGTCAGATCCTTGCCGCTGTGGCCCTTCAGCGGACTTTCCATCAGAGGGCTCTTCGAAATTGGGGTTACGCGGTGACATCACGAAGGGATTAGGCGTCGTTACAAAATTGTTTCTCAGAGATTTGCAAGCAGAACGACGAGCAAACACAACTGCAATCACGCGAAGCAGGTTGAGCTTGCTTGATGCAACCCATAAGAATCCTTGTCAGTCGCGTCGGTTGCAATGATGTGTAAGCAAAGTGTCTTACTCTCTCTTGCTACAACAAAAGTGAGGAATTGCACACCCAACATAAAGTGGGACAGCATATCCAACTGGTATAGACGCCATAAATTGACTCATGCTGGAGAGCTACACCATCCTACATGACCCGCCTATAAGCTTGTTTGCATTGGCGGCTGTTAAACGCACATCTAGTCCAAGGACCTCAAGACTCTGAATTGAGAAGGCGTTTCCAGAGACTTCGCGTGCAAAAAGAAGCTTCTCTCTGAAACAAACCATTTTGCCATGTCAGTCAGTGCTTGTGTCGACAGAAGGCCGGACTGCTGCAAAATGGACTGCCAGCAGCCACGGTCCACGACTAGCCTGGATGCAAGGCCTGAAATTGCAGCCAAGTTATATATACAGTACATATATAAGTTGAAATAGAAATCAGAAACAGTATCGTTCTCAAAGGTCTATTGATTCGATCCGCTTTGATGGCCTCGAAGTGAAGTTGCAAAGCTCATAGATGACCACAGGAGTCTTCGAACTCTCGGTTAGCCAGTAGGTGTCCACCTGCTTGTTGATGGACAATGGTCACACATGAACGAACAATCCGAACAATCGCCAGTGCGCGTTTGCAACGCTCGCCTTTTCACAGCGCACTGGCATCTCATTCGAAGAAAGGCTCTCTATGCTGGACTGTGCACTGCGATTAGTGCAACTGGACACAAAGCATATGCAAAGTACTTATGCTTCATTCTGTCTTTATGGCAATGCCATGAAAAGCTGGAGCCTTAGGTCACAAAGGCAGCTCAAAGTATGAAGCCTGGAATCAGATTTACATGATATGTACATAAGCCTCTAGAATACGCACCGAAAACAAAAATTGGCTGACTGTTTACATCTGCTCACTCACAATTGTAAGGAAGCGCAATCGCGCTGACCGTGCTATCGTGTGCTGATCTTTGCAGCCAGGGGGCGCCGTGACACTGATTTCTGTCCAAAAACAATACAGTAGCCATTAAGGCCTTTCAGAGCAGCTCATGACTGTTTCTTCTCTCTGGCCTCTTCAACCACCTGGCACTGAGCATTCGCCACAGCGTCCAGACTTTTCTACTTGACTAGAGCCTGAGAATATCAATGTTCTTACCGCAACTGTGAGCCAGTGCAGCTTGCCAAGCCTTTCTGCCAGCTCTTCTTTGCAAACAGAACAGGCAAAGAAGGATAAAGCAACCTAAGACGATTTGACGCAAAAACGAAACTCGTGTATGTACACATCAATTGATCTGGGGTCTCTGCACGCAAAGGCGACCTGGCTAAAAATTGATGTTCTGCACCGAAAAAACAAAGTATGCAAAAAGCAGCCAGCCAAGCTCCACATACAGCAGTCATGGCTTCGTTCCATCTGGCCTCCCAACAAGCAAAGCTAGTTCAATTTTCACACTCTAGATTCGATTCTTGGCTCAGGTTCGTACCCATGCAAAAACCAGGAGCACGTCCACTGGGCTCTTGTCTGGAAGCGACCACGCCTCGCGATGGAACCCCTTAGCTTTTGAATTGTCATTTCACAGCATCCCTCTCCCTAAACAATCTCGCCCCCATGCACATTAGTATGAATTGAGGTCCTCTCAACTTCGCCGGAGGTTCGCGGTGTGGCCTTTTGATAAGAGTCTTAATGTTGGCGCTCAAAACAATCGACTCGGTCCTACAAGGCCTTGATTCGCATGCCATAGGCTTCTGGTACACATTGGCATTCTGTATTCGCCTGAGTGGAGCCCTTACACCGACACAACGCATCTGCATTGTATTGCGCTGCCTCGCATATTGCAGCACTCACAAACAAGTCCGCCCGTGCCGAAGGTGCTGAGGAGCATGATTGGGATGGGACACGAAAAGCTGAGTTCCTAGAGCTTTAGTTCGGGGGCCTCTTTCTCTTGAGAACGGAAATGCCTACAGTCGGTGATGGGAGAAAACATGCAAAAACACAGGGCGATGAAGGTTTTGCGACCTGACATTTGATGTGGAGGTGGTGTTCCATATGATCTGGGACAGGAGTAACCCCTTTCATGGCCCTGGTGATGCCAATATTGCAATAGTGAGACATCAGTGAGATTCATCAACTGCAGCATGGTGGTCGACGTCTGATTCGGTAACCAAAACCGCTGATTCGGTAACCAAAACCGCTGAT